GCATCAATGGCAGTTTTTGGCTACCTAATGTTTGGTTCAACGGTTCAATCACAAATAACTTTAAACCTCCCAACTCAAAACATTAGCTCAAAAGTCGCCATATTCACGACCCTGGTGAATCCAATATCCAAATATGCTTTGATGGTTACTCCAATAGTGAATGCTGCCAAGAAGAAGTTTCCAAGTCACTACAATAAAAGGTTCATTGGTCTATTAGTCAGCACTACCTTAGTATTCAGCACTGTAATAGTAGCTTTGGCTATACCCTTTTTCGGGTATCTCATGTCACTTGTTGGAGCATTTTTGAGTGTGACAGGTTCAATTGTATTCCCATGCTTTTGCTACCTGAAACTTTCAGGTACGTATCGAAGATTCGGATGTGAGGTGTTGATTATAGGGTGCATATTACTACTAAGTGCTGCAGTTATTGTATTTGGCACTTACACTGCTCTAGTAGAAATAATAGGGAGCCTGTGAGTCGTACCAATGATCTCTTTGTTGATAGTTTTCTCGTTCTTTCCTCTCCTTTTTTTTTCTTCTTTTGGGCTAGTGTATGGTGATTGATTAGTGAGTTTTAAAACAAGGAATGCTTAGCTTGTTACAACCTGCTGCACTTTGTATTAATCTGTTTGAGTTTTTGCTTTATAGGTTATTTAGATATATCCCCACAAAATAGCGTGGGGAATAATACAGGGAGCCCTTCGAAGAAAACCTTGGTTAGGGGTGTTGTCAATTTTGATTTAAGGTATAGACATGCTTGGACATACAGACATTGAAAAAATGACAGTAGTTGTGGTAGAACAAAAGATACAGAGCTCATAGAGAAAAATTACTGATAAAGAGCAATGTTTTGGAAAATCAGCAATGCGCTATTCCATTAATAAATTTTAAAATTAATAGAGCTTACACGGCAACTGATTTTGATTACATGTTAACCAACTTCATGTGCAAGCTCAATACATCTAGTAACTGGTAGATACCCTCATAATCAGCTCGAGAATCATAGCCAGAAAATAATTTATGGATGGACCCGCCTAACTCAACGCAACTCTCCCCTGCCGTCTTCTTCACCCGTCTTTCTTTCATAACCTTTCTTAATGCGTCTTTAGAAAAAGGTCCGTGCTATTTGCACTTAATTCTGTGAGTGCCAAAAAATTATGTTGACACCATGCTGACCTCACATTTCCCCCCTTAAGCAAATCCCACAAATTAAGGGATAACCTTTGCTTGTCATACCTCACATCCCACCAAATAAGGAATAGCTAGACATGCCCCCTCCTATACTTTCTCATACCAAGGCCCTAAATCAAGGAGAAGCCATGTAGAATTCCCAAATCAAGGAGAGCCATGCATTATCTACCACTACTTGGACTATAAAAGGGAGCTTACCACCTCCAAGCAAAGAGGAGAGCAGCTGCCACTTTTCCAAGAGCTGCCCAAGAATCTCCCAAGCTCTCTATTTCTCTTTTACTAGAGCTCTCAAGCCTCGCTCCCCATATCTCTCTCATGTACAATGTAATCTTCATATTCAAATACAAATACAAAGCTATAAATTATAGTGGATGTAGTCCCATTATGGGTCGAACCACTCAAACACTTGTGTTATGTGTGTGATTATGTCTTAATCCGTTATGTACAAATTCACCCGTTAACAAATTTTAAGATTTATTAATTTTAAAGTGCATGGATCTAAATGAGTGTTGATAGCATTACCTTAGAAAGACTGATGAGAATAATCCTCTACAACTTTTCTATCTACTTCTTTCTTATATCTCCAATGAAATTGTCCCATTTAT